ACACGATTTATACCAGGTTCACTTAGAAATCACAGAGATTTGCTTGCTTCTGCCTCCTGAGTGCTGGAATTAAAGGCTTCTGCCATCATACTCAGCTACCTTATTTTTTTTAAAAACCACTTTATCCTGATTTTTCTCATCCAAGCCTACATATGTTTTAAACACATGGTAAACCTTTGAAGGATTTTCTTTATCTTAATCTGTCTTTACTGTAAATCTTATCTTTTTCTGGCCACAAATCTTTTGTCTGCTAAAGAGCATTGCTAAAATGAAAGCCACAGCTGTTTTAGCCACTATTCTTCCAAAATGGTGGGGGTATATTTGCCACTAGCACTGAGAGCTGTGCTTACCATGTTGGGCTATACTGGCATCAAACATCATGCTGCTGGGTTGGAGATGTGGTCACTGCCAGTGTCAGCTCTCATACATACCGTTCAGTTCTTAGGGTCTTTTAAATTGCCTTGCTGTTTTTTTGTTTATTTGTATTGTTGTTGCTATTATTTATTTATTTTTGCCTCTTAAATCTCCCTTTTTTATTATTTTTTTATTTTTTTTTATTTTATATAACCAAGTCCATTTAAATGAAAACAAACATTTATAGACAATATTTGGGAATTTGGGCATCGTTCTTTCCAAACTACTTCCTGCTGGTAAGGAGCGTTGTCATGGGGGATTCGAAGAAGATTCAGAAATCCTGGCTGTAGTCTGTCAGGCTGCTTTGTCCAACTGTTTTGAATGTAGGGTCTATTTTTGTTTCCACAGAAAATGAAAAGATATGGATTCCTTCCACACTAATGTGGTTTGATCAAGCCAGACCACCTGAAACAGAGTACCAGGTGTTCTTAAATCTCCCTTAAAGGAGCTGGGCAAATCTCTGCTTGTCTCTAGCAAAACAGATCCCAACTGAGAAAACGGCTACAACCAAAAGACTTGTTTGTCTCTGTTACTTTGTTTTTAAAACACTTTCTTAAGTTTTTGCTAAATTTTAAGTGGAAGTTCTTAGACCCACTTTGCAATTGACATTTTGTTATGGGCAGAGTTTTCCTGTCAACCTGGTCCCAGAGCCACGTTAGCCTAAAATAACACACAGAGACACTGTATTAGATATAAAGCTGTTGGTATGTCACTAGCACTTCTTATTGGTCAGCTCTGTCTCAAATATTAACCCATTTCTATTACACTAAGTGTTTTCACATGATCTTATCTTACCAGAAGGTCCAGACCCCTTCGCTCAAGTCCCTTGATCTTGAATCTCCTCTACTACTCCCAGAATCCTCCTTGTCTGCCTATCTTGCCTTTGTATTTGCCAGCAGTTCTGTATTCGTTACCAATAAGAGAAACATATGTACACCAATATTCTGTTTTGGAATCTCTCCTGCCTTCATTGACAAAAATACTTATGTATGCACATCCTCATTATGTGAAATAAGGATGGTTTTTTCCCACTGCATCCTGGACTATTGCTGTTTCTTTCTTGGCATTTTGAGCTACACCATGGTCTTCCTCTCCAGGAATCTTCCTGATACATCCAATGAAGCCAAATTTCTCTCATTTAGCATGCAGGTAGTCTTCTGTAACTGGGTCACCTTCCTCCTTGTCTAATAAAGCACCAAGCAAAGGTCATGGTGCTATGCAAGTTTTCTCCCTCAGTGTTTCTATCACCAGGACCCTAAATTTAATCTTTCCTTCCAAGTATTATACTATTTTTCTCTTGAAGGTATTTATATTAATTTTTTATTTTGCATGGATTATTTTAGGATTGAAGACATATAACACTACACCTGCTAATGTTTCATTTTGAACTTATTCTTTCCTCCATGTCTGCTTTCCAAAGAAGTTCTTAACTTTGTGCAGATAGCCTAATCAATTTTGATAAAAATTCAGAAACATACATATAGATTTTTAGCTTTATTATTTCATATTCAACTGTCAATATGAAAAAATTGGGCCATATATCAATGTATTTCTGAATTCATTAAGACATTACACTAATTTGTCATCTTTCACTTGATTTTTGTGTTTACACTAAAGAAGATCGGATTTTTAGTTAGTTTTCTTTTTTGTTGTAAAGTTTTCTGACGTAATACGAACTCATTACTGTTTTCCCTCCTGCTACTGCTTTCCGCTCCTTCCCAAATGCTTCCCACCTATGAATATACCTTCCTGTCTACCTTTGTGAAGAAAATGTGCTTCTTAGATATAAAAAAGAAATTTAATATGGAATAAAGGAGAAAATAATAACTAGCATCTCAGAATTGGACAAAACAAGCAAACAGAATGAAATAGCCCAAGAAAATATACATGAAACACAGTCCTACATAATTGCACAATCAAGAATCCAAAAGACACACTAAAATCATATTCCTTATAGAGACACAAAGGCATTGTAAATAATTGGAAAGATGAAATAAACACATAAATTAATAAAAAAATTATGAAAAGTGCTGACGCAACATGTGAAACAAGGATCCACTGAAGATGCTATTCAGTTCTTTTTATTTTGGCCATCTACTCCTGGATATGCAAGTCACCATTAGCAATATATTTTCCCCAGTGAGACTCTCTTGGAGAAAACTGAATTCTCAATTGCAAGTGGTTATCCATTAGATAGCTTCTGGGTTAGAGATGAGAGTATGTGTCGACTTCTTTTTCAGTTTTAGGACATGATTGTTGTAGACTCTATGCAGGTTCTGTGCTCGCTGTCTCAGGATCTGTGAGATTATATGTGAATAAATCATGTTATAAAGTCAGGTTTTCAAATTCAGTGTAGTTTTGTGGGAAGATAACTTTGTCCTGATTCAGTGTATGATGCTTTACAAGCTCTGTCAGTTCACAGACATATTTGGAATTTGTTTAAAATGAAGCCAAATGATCAAGAATTTACACAGCCAAAGTAGAATTGATTACATGCAATATATTTTTAACATGTGATTAAACATATCACATGAGTTATTTTTTGGAGCCCACCTGATTTTGCACTAACTTACACACAAATGTATTTGTATTCCATTAAAATGGTGAAGTGGTTCAGTACTCTAAGTTTATTATTACACATTTTTGACAATTTATCAAAAGTTTGTGAAAACATGAGCAACTCATTAAGAAATATGTTTCTTTGTTTCCTTTTATTTCTTTTAATACAAATGTGTGTAAAATGTTAGCCCATCCCCAGCAGCATATGTCTTTAATTCTGGTGAACTACCCATCATTTTCTTAATATATTGGTCGCATTACAAAGGATTAAAATGATATGTACATGGCATGGTAGGTTATCCTACACTGTAAAATTTAAGTTACTGATACTAAAAGCAGATAGTATTTCAGAGCATCAGTGTGGCAAGGCACTACTTCTTGTGGTGTTCTGAATGAACTAGCAAACTGCAAAATAACAGGAGAAGCTCCCTGTGATTTTTTTTTAAGATGAGGGAAAATGAAGCTTCTTACTGTGGGATAATTATGTTGAACAAGAGCTGGATAAGTAACATTTGTTCAGGAAATAGGGAATTAGTAGCAGGAATTTGGTGACCAATAAAATGGTAGATGGTTCAAACAGTCATAATACATTTGAAGCAGAGGAATGCAGGATGTTATTAGTTTTGCCAAAATCATAATGAGAGATGAAGTTATTTAAATATATAGGGGAGGTTATTTATTGGATTGAATATCCATCCCTGCTATAGCATAGTGCACAGTCCATAGCTCTAAACTTTTGTGGACTAAGAAATAAAGCCCTACTCATGAGTGTTTCATTCAGTATTTGGGTAAAAGGATGCATTAAGATGTTTTTCAGCCATTATCTTTGATGGAGAAAAGACATGGACTTCTCAAACATCCATTTGTACAAAGATGGAATAAACTGTAGATGAACCTAGTACTCTAGTTGCCAGAATGGATAATGAGAAAATGTGCTTGATTTATAGAATTACAAGGGTGAAAAGGGGCTGTAGTAATATATAAGTTCAGTGTTCAGAATGTAAACAGGGAACATGATTGTTGCACTGAAAATAAATGGTTCATTTGGAACAGAAGAATCAAGAGAACCATAGATTTTACAAATTGAGAAATAACTGGATTTCCAGTATTAACATCATACTGCTAACAGAGACATATCATAAAAGGAAATTCTGAGAGTCTTTAAAAAAATGGGCAAGGAAGACTCCCAATTGTTGTCTTTGGTTTTGAACAGCAATACGGTTATATATTTTGCCCACTTTTGCCTGAAGGGCCTTTCCTTTCTCATGGGAAAAGAAATATATGAAATTTTTAAAATAGGATAAAGTTTATATCAATGTGTATGATTCTTGCTTCATAATTGTGTCCAAGTTATCTCAAAAGTTATTCATCACTGAGCTCTTGCCCATTGTCTCCTTTAAAATCATGGTGTCCCTGGATATTAAAAATTGAATTGTGTGTACACATAACATTCATGTGTAGATGTAGACATAGTGTAAAATGAAATCCTTAGACTCCTAGAATCCTTATATAAAGACTACTTCAGCTGGTTAACTTTGGCTTTTACAAAGCATGATGGATTCCTTAATTTTGGGCCTGTTTTGGGCATCTCTCTTTACTCCCTATTTTCTCCAGCACAGCAACCTCTGATGTAACATGTTTACCTCAACCTCAGATGTTTACATATGAAAAGTGTATTCTTCATACTGTGACAAAATCACTCTAACGCGTGTTTATCCCTTAGTTCTGAAGCCATGCTGCCTGCGGCTGGAAAATATGATCCACAAACACATTTTCTAGCTTGTTTTTCACCTGAATACAGGACCTCAGATGCATAGCCTGAGGGAAGAAGAAAGGATTCTAGAATTCTCAGTAGCATCAGGGAAGGGGATATCAGAAAGAGCTTATATTGATTAGTGTGACAATCTCACTCATGAACAATTGTAAAAATACATATGTCCACAAACATAAGTTGTTTTTATGTCTCTTGGACACCTTAGTGTCTGCATCTAGCATATTTACAGCTTGAAATCACATTTGTTAATAGAATGTTCTTGTGGATCTTTTTCAATGGGTTTCTCCTGATACCCAATCTTGTGGTTGCCTATAGCACTGATGAGTGCTACTATAAAATCAAGGAAGACTTTCACCAAGAAGGCGATGTGGTGATTGGTGTATTTTTCCCTCTTCATATATACTACACAGGCATGAAATTTTCACATGCATATCTGCCACACTATTTGAAAGACTTCCTCATGCAGTAAGTATCATTATCCATGTATTCTGTTGAATTCATATTTCCTATTACATGGTGATGTATGGATTCAAACTTCTATTTTCCCTGTATTTTTCATCATGACAACCTGTCTTATATTTACCAATCTATTTTATTGCAAGTTCCTGTTCACATCATTTTTGTTCATAACACAAGAAGAGGTTGTGAGAAAAATTATATTGGTTTTGTTTGTTTTCAAACTTGATGTTTGTAATATTGTGAGTTGAATTTGCTATGTATTTACTGCCAAAAGGTATTGCAAGTTTTCTATGTTATATCATCCTCAGTAAGGATTGTTTTTTTCCAAGTTTGACCTAGTATTTAAGGGCATTCTACAAGAGCAGCTGTGCTCCTGTGAGAAAGGTTGATACCACTGAAAGCTATATATTCTGAGTGCATGATATGATGCTAGAGTGTAAAGACCTGCCTGTATAGATACCATTGATTCTGGATCAGAGATATCAGATTTAGAATTTGGGCATACTACTTTACTTTCAAATGACTCTGCCTGTGTTGGAGTGTCATATTATATCCTTTGCCTTCTAATTATTTCCTATCACACATGTTTACCATTTACCTATTTGATCATGAATTTCTATTTTTTTTCAAATTCTCATTTAATTGTTCATATGAAACATTGACTGGGATGGTGGTCACATAGGGCTGTGTCTTATGTCAGAAACAATATTAAACAATATGTGAGATGGAGGATACTATTATTATTATAAAAAGTTATGATGAGAATCTCCTACAAAATATTTCCTATCAACTACTTCCCCCTACATCCCCTTTCTCCAATTCACTCCACCTTAATTTCCCTTCAGAAAGGAGCAGGCGTCTAAGAGACAACATCCAAACATGACCAAAACACACACACACACACACACACACACACACACAAAGACAAGAAATAAAGATCTCATATTAAGACTGGAACAGGAAACCCTATAAGAATAAAAGTTTGCTGAGAGCAGGGAAAAGAGTCAGTGACATAACTTCTCTGATGGTTAAGCATCCCAGATAAATACAAAACTGACAGCTATAACATATACTCTGAGGACCTGGTGGCAATCCATGAAGGTCCCTTGATTTCAGCTTTAGAACCTATGCCCCAATATGAGCACTACTCATATTGATACAGCGGTCCATATTACCTTGGTTTCCCCCATGCTATCTGCCTCTACTAAGATTTCTGCCTCTTTCTCAATGTGTTTCGCTGAGCTCTGAGAAGAGGGATTTGATACAGACCTCCAAATCAGCGTCCTCACATAAGTTTTTGATGTGGAACTTCCATCTGCCTCCAGTTAGCCTTACTGTTGACAATTGCACAATGAACTGATCTATGAGTAAAGCAAATAGAGCAAAATCATTTCAGTGATTTTTTTTCCAGTCCTGTTGGGCTCGATCCTAGGCTCAGTACTACCCATTGTTTCTGGCCATTCAGAGATATTGGTAATAAGCTTCCTCTTGTAGAAAGGACCTCAAGTTATACCAGTCATTGGTTGATACCTCCCACAAGATGTGCATGTTCTGCTCACCATTTCCCAACATAACTTGCACTCAGAACAGATTATAGATCAAAGATTTTGGGGCTGGTTGGTGTTTATGTTTACGTAGAATATGAAGGATTTTCCCTCACCAAAGAGATTATAACATAGAGGTTAAAGCTCCATGGAGGCAACATCTTGACTGCTTTATATTTAGTAAACCTTGTGGCTGTTGCCCTGATGTTTGATTTTGGAGAGTGATCCTCTCTCCTAGCATCACCCTGGGTTGTTTGGGAATCACAAGCAGATCAGTTGGGCCAACAATTCTACCACAAACATACTGACCTACCTCTGGAAGCTTTGCCTGGCTACAGAAGATGGCCTGGTCTTACTCCATATCATTTGTTACTAGAGATCCTCACTAGGGTCCTTCTCACTATTCCAGAAAGTTTCCACAGTAGTAGGCTTCTAACAATTCTCCCCAAATGTCTCTCCCTGCACTTACTCTCCATCCCTTTACTGCCACCTGAATCTTCCTGCTCCTATACCCACATGCCCCAAATAAGTTCTAATAATCCATTCTATTTCCCCTGTCCATGGAGATGCATATGCATGTATTCCTACCCTAGAAACCTTCTGTTTACCTAACCCCTCTTAGTCTATGAATTCTAGCTTGATTATTATTCATTCAACAACTAATAACAAATATGGTGAATACATATCATATTTGTATTTCTGAGTCTGGGCTACCTCATTCAACATGATTTGTTTCTAATTCCATACATTTGCCTTCAATATTCATGATGTTGTTTTTGAACACTTGAGTAGCAGTTTATTGTGTAAGTGTACCATATTTTTCCCTTTTTATTATTATTCTTTCTTGTTTTACATATTGATCCCAGTTCCTTCTCCCTCAATCTGTAACACAATATTTCCTCCATACTTTGGTTGAGGGACATCTGGTTGCTTCCAGTTTCTGACAATTTTTTTATTTATTTATTTTATATAACCAAGTCCATTTAAATGAAAACAAACATTTATAGACAATATTTGGGAATTTGGGCATCGTTCTTTCCAAACTACTTCCTGCTGGTAAGGGGCACTGTCATGGGGGATTCTAAAATGCAGCAGAAATCCTGGCTGTAGTCTGTAAGGCTGCTTTGTCCAGCTGTTTTGAATGTAGGATCACATGGTACTCTATTTCAGGTGGTCTGGCTTGATCAAACCACATTAGTCTGGAAAGAATCCACAGCTTTTCATTTTCTGTGGAAACAAAAATAGAAATCCTTTTCCCCAGTAACTTGTCCTTGAACTTAAATTTTGGGGTCATAGCATTTTTTATTTAATTTATTATTTTACATGTCAATCCCAGTTCCCTCTCCCTCCATCCTTCCCTCCCTTTTACCCTCTCTGCCCTCTCACATGCACTCTAAACACCCTCCCCTCCCATCCCCCACCCCAATTCCATGTGTAGGGGAATGCCATCCAGTTGGGGTCATTTAGATCTGACAGGTCATGTGAAGTAGGGACTAGGGCTTCTCTCCTGTCTCTAGGTTAAGGCAGTTATCCCTCCATGGGGGATGTGTTAGCAAGGTCCTTTTGTGCACCAGGGATACATCCTGGCTCCACTGTCTGAGGTCCCTTAGACTGCTCAGTCCATTTGGTCTTCTTGACTGTGTCCTTTACCTTACAGAAGCGTGTCAGTTTCAGGAGGTCCCATTTAATAATTGTCTACCTCAGTGTCTGTGATACTGATGTTATGTTCAGAAATTGGTCTCCTGTACCAATTCCTTCAAGGGTACCTCCCACTTTCACTTCTAAGAAGTTCGGTGTGGCTGAATTTATGTTCAGGTCTTTGATCCATTTAGACTTAAGTTTTGTGCATGGCAATACACATGGGTCTATCTGCGGTCTTCTACATAACAGCATCCAGTTGTGCAGCACCATATGTTGAAGATGCTTTCCTCCTTCCACTGTATAATTGTGGCTGTTTTGTCAAAAGTGAGGTGTTCATAGGAGTATGGCTTAATATCAGGAGTTTCTATCTGATTGTATTTGTTTATATGTCTATTTTTGTGCCAATACCAAGCTACTTTCAGGATTATACCTCTATAGTAGAGATAAAAGTCAGGCATGGCAATGCCTCCTAAAGTTTCTTTATTGTACATGGTTGTTTTGGCTATCCTGGGTCTTTTGTTTTTCCATATAAAGTTGATTATTATCCTTTCAAAGTCAGTGAAGAATTGTACTGGAATTTTGATTGGGATTGCATTGAAACTGTAGATTGCTTTTGGCAAGATTGCCATTTTTACTGTTTATCCTACTTATCCAAGAGCATGGGAAATCTTTCCATTTTCGGTTATCTCCTTTAATTTCTTTCTTTAAGGACGCAAAGTTCTTGCAATATTGGTCTTTTAGTTCTTTGGTTAAAATTACCCCAAGATATTTTATGTTCTTTTTTGTAGCTATTGTAAAGTGTGATTTTTTTTTTCTGATTTCTTTCTCAGTCCCTTTATCATCTATACAGTAGGGCTACTTTTTTTTTTTTTTTTTTAGTTAATCTTGAATCCTATCACATTGCTGAAGGAGTTTATCAGATCTAAGATTTCCCATTTCCCTGATAGTTGTTTGGGTCACTTATGGTAAATTATCATATCATCTGCAAATAGTGAAAGACTGAAATCTTCCTATTTGTATCCCCTTTATCTCCTTTTGTTGTCTTTTTGCTCTAGCTAGAACTTCAAGTACAATATTGAAGAGATATGGAGAGAGTGGACAGTCTCATCTTTTGATTTTGGCTGCTGGTTTACTGTACACTGCTATTGTTATGTTTAGGTATGTTCCTGTTGTCCCTGATCTCTCCAAGACTTTTGTCATGAAAGGGTGTTGAATTATGTCAAACGCTTTTTCATCATCTAGTGAGATGATCATATGCTTTTTCTTTGCCTGTTTGTTTATATGATAGTTCACATTGATATACTTTTGTATGTTGAACCATTCCTGCAACCCAGGGATGAAGCCTACAAAAAGTTCTGGAAGGAAAACTCCAACCCAAGGACGTTAACTTCACTCACAAAGACAGTGGTCCTTAGAGTGGGATAATTCAACACCCCACTCTAACCACTGGACACAACTATCAGACTGAAAGTTAACAATGAAACAAAAGAACTAACAGAAGGTATGTCCCAACTGGGTTTAATAGACATCTATAGAACATTCCATTCAAACACAAAAGAATATACCTTCTAGTGCCATCCTAGCAGTGAGAATGGTGTTTTGAATTCTCCCACTATGAGTGTGTGAGGTTTTATGTGAGCTTTGAGTTTTAGTAGTGTTTTTTTTTTTTTTTACAACTGTGGGTGCCTTTAGATTTGGGGCATAGATGTTCAGAATTGAGACTTTGTACTGATTGATTTCTCCTGTAATTAATGTGAAATGACCCTCAGATCTTCTGATTGATTTTGGTTTGAAGTCAAAATTGTGAAATATTAGGATAGC